ACTAAAACTACAAAAAAATTAGCTGGGCATGGTGGCGCGTGCCTGTAGTCCCAGCTACTCAGGAGGCTGAGGCAGGAGAATTGCTTGAACCCAGGAGGTGGAGGTTGCGGTGAGCCGAGATCGCGCCATTGCACTCCAGCCTGGGTAACAAGAGTGAAACTCCGTCTCCAAAAAAAAAAAAAAATCAAGTCAGCGATCTGAATTAGAAAACACCCCTGGATAATCATGCTCTTGATGCACATTTCTTTTCCTTTTTCTTTTCTTTTTTTTTTTTTTTTTTTTAGACAGAGTCTCGCTCTTTCAGGTTGGAGGGCAGTAGCACGATCTTGGCTCGCTGCAACCTCTGCCACCTGGGTCCAAGTGATTTTCCTGCCTCAGCCCCCTGAGTAGCTGGGATTACAGGTGCGCACCACCACACCCAGCTAATTTTTGTATTTTCAGTAGAAACAGGGTTTCACCATGTTGGTCAAGCTGACTTGATGCACATTTCTTATAGATACGTTTGAAAATTGCTTCCTAACCACAATAAACACTGTGTAGAGGTTTTTAAAATGTCCCTGGATACATATTAATTTTTTTAAATCAACCTGGCCCAACTTGCCAGTTATTGCTAGATCCAATAATCCTGAGAGCTCAAACTAAAAAACTGGTAAAAAGAAAAATACTCAGGCTCTACAAATGTAATTTGTCTTTAAACAGGCAGAAATTTTGAATTTTTTTTTTTTTTTTTTTTTTTTTAGACGGAGTTTCCCCCTTGTTACCCAGGCTGGAGTGCAATGGCGCGATCTCGGCTCACCGCAACCTCCGCCTCCTGGGCTCAGGCAATTCTCCTGCCTCAGCCTCCTGAGTAGCTGGGATTACAGGCACGCGCCACCATGCCCAGCTAATTTTTGGTAGTTTTAGTAGAGACGGGGTTTCACCATGTTGACCAGGATGGTCTCGATCTCTTGACCTTGTGATCCACCCGCCTCGGCCTCCCAAAGTGCTGGGATTACAGGCGTGAGCCACTGCGCCCAGCCAGAAATTTTTTTAAAAAAAGATAGAGGTGTCTAAAAGGTCTTTGGCTACCTTGGCAGCTCAATTTAAAAACAACAGGTTGATATACAGTAAAATAAGATGTTTCAGTGTAGCTCCAAAAACCTTTATAAATACAGCCATTTGGAAGGACGATCCTGGATCAAAAATTATTCCTTGTGCATCTACACTATGTGCATGTCTCATTTCAGTTGTCATAATTGTCTCTATAATTTCCTCCGAGTAGCAGTCATAACCACCCTGGTTTCTGCCAGTATAGTCTCGAACTGGAACGCCATATCCACATCCATACCCTCCAGGTCGACTGTCATAATACCTGCCACTCCTACAGCCCTGGTCCCCACCACCTCTAGAGTAGCTTCGACCACGCCCATGGGCCCCCAAGGCACCTCCTTTAGTTCCTCGAGCAGACTTGCTTGTGTGATCCACACAGATCTGACGACCATCCAGGGACTCTCCGTTCTTGGCTCTCATGGCAACTGAAGCATGCTCTGGGTTGGTGAAGGTGATGAAACCAAAACCCCTGGACCGCTGAGTCTCCCGGTCCTTGACAACGACCACCTCAGAGATAGGCCCGAAGCTGCTAAAGTGGTTTCCAGTGCCTGCTCATCGGTGTTGAAGTTGAGCCCCCCTACGAAAAGCTTTCCTTCTTCAGAGGACATGGCAGCGAATTCAAGTGCTGGAAATTAAAACGTAAAAAAGCCAAACACACAGAGAAGTCGGAGGAGCAGAGAAAACAGGGCATTTTTTTTTTTTTTTTTTTTTGAGACAGAGTCTCGCTCTGTTACCCAGGCTGGTGTGCAGTGGCGCAATCTCAGCTCACTGCAGTCTCTGCCTCCTGGGTTCAAGCAATTTTACCACGTCAGCCTCCCGAGTAGCTGGGCTTACAGGCACATACCACCATGCCTGGCTCATTTTTATATTCCTAGTAGAGATGGGGTTTCACCATGTTGGTCAGACTGGTCTATTAGTTAGGCAACTCCTGACCTCATGACTCACCCACCTCAGCCTCCCAAAGTCCTGGGATTAAAGGCCTGAGCCACCGCACCTGGCCTAATTTTTGTATTTTTAGTAGAGACAAGATTTCACCATATTGGCCAGGCTGGTCTCGAACTCCTCACCTCAGGTTATCTACCCACCTTGGCCTCCCAAAGTGCTGGGATTACAGGCATGAGCCACCTCACCTAGCCTATTATTCATTTTTTAAAAATTTATTTAATTTTTTTTTGAGACAGAGTCTTGCTCTGTCACCAAGGCTGGAGTACAGACAACCTCCACCTCTAAGGTTCAAGCGATTCTCCTGCCTCAGCCTCCTGAGTAGCTGGGATTACAGGCGTAAACCACCACACCTAGCTAATTTTTTTTTTTTTTTTGGTAATTTTAGTAAACATAGGGTTTTACCATGTTGGTCAGCCTGGTCTCAAACTCCTGACCTCAGGAGATCTGCCCGCCTTGGCCTCCCAAAGTGCTGGGATTACAGGTGTGAGCCACTGTGCCCGGACTATTGTTATTATTATTATTTTTTTTGAGACAGGGTTTCACTCTGTTGCCCAGGTTGGAGTGCAGTGGTGTGATCCTGGCTCACTGCATCCTCTGCCTCCTGGGGCTCAAGTGATCCTCCTGCCTCAGGCCAACAAATAGATGGGAATACACTGAAGCCACCATGCCAGGCTAATGTTTGTATTTTTTTGTAGAGATGGGTTTTCACTATGTTGCCCAGGCTAGTCGTCAACTCCTGAGCTCAAGTGATCCACCTGCCTCAGCCTCCCAAAGTGCTAGGCGACCAGGTGTGAGCCACCACGCCCAGCTGGTCTATGAGTTTTAAAGATCACCTATGTGGGTTAAAGGTGAATATTTTTTTTTTTTTTTTT